GGGAAAATTCAAAAGAACTTTCCCACGCTGTGTAAAATGACTCAGAGCACTCTGATTGGCTTAAATCCACCAATCAGAGTGTTCTAAGCCTAATTGCAAGGCGGGGCAAGGCTTTATAAGCCTTGACCCGCCCTGCGGAGCTCAGTCTGCGGCGTGCCCTCGAAGGGCGAACTTGGATTAAATTTTTTTTGCGCTCGGTTTTTTTTTTGTTTTTTTTTTAAAGTGCCGACGGGTATAATGGATTTTTATTTGGCCTTTTTGGGGGCTGAAGAAAGAAGATTTTAGAAAAAAGAAGACGTCAAATGGTAAGTTTAATTTTTTTTTACAGGTTAGTTATTTTATTCCCCCTCACTATTTTTAGGGTGAGGGGGGTAGGTAGGAGATAGTTTTTTTTTGGGTGGGGGGGTGACTAGGGGCTTGGGACCCCTAGTCACCTTGATTGGGGGGGGGTGTTTCATTTAGGGCCCCCACCCACCGCTCAGGGGTGGAGGACAGTAGGTCCCCCCCTTATTGTTTTATTAGGGCCCCACCCACCGCGCAGGGGTGGGGGTCAGGGGGGGAGGACAGTAGGTCCCCCCCCTTATTGTTTTATTAGGGCCCCCACCCACCGCTCAGGGGTGAGGCCGGGGGGGAGGACAGTAGGTCCCCCCCCTTATTGTTTTATTAGGGCCCCCACCCACCGCTCAGGGGTGGGGGCCAGGGGGGGAGGACACTAGGTCCCCCCCCCTTATTGTTTTATTAGGGCCCCCACCCACCGCGCAGGGGTGGGGGCCAGGGGGGGAGGACACTAGGTCCCCCCCTATTGTTTTATTAGGGCCCCCACCCACCGCGCAGGGGTGGGGGCCATAAGTGTCCCCCCCCATATCTTTATTTAGGGCCCCCACCCACCGCTCAGGGGTGGGGGCCAGGGGGGACAGTAGGTCCCCCCCCATCTTTATTTCGGGCCCCCACGGGCATGGGGGGGTTTATTAGTTTTTTTTTTGTTTTTTTTACAGTGAGCAGCTATAAGCTGCTCACTGCTTACTACACATGCCCCTACTCGCGATATAGCGAGTAGGGGCATATTATTTACTAATACTAAGTAATCTTTACTTAGTATTAGTAAAGTTGGCTGTTAGACCAATTTAGGTCTTTCAGCCTTTTAGTAGATAGCTCCCTGATACCGTGGGAATTAGGGAGTTATCTACTAAGCGGCTGCAAGATGCAGCCACAGCAATGAATAGGATCAGAGTTTCATTCATTAGAATGAAATTCCGATCCGAATAAAGTGCCGAATTGCGTTCTAAAAGAAACGAACAGACTGTTCTCATTCAGTTAGAACGCAATTCGGCAGTTTTGTGTAAAGTGACAGGAAGCATTGTGGGAACACAGAGGAAAGCTAGGGATCATGGGAAAATTGCTCTGACCAGCGGAAATGAAGCACACTTTGCTCCTCCGCTGGTCAGAGCTGGTCAAGCGGAGGAATCCTCCATAAGGCAAAGAGTCCCTACTTTGTCTTATGATTTTAAAGAAAACTAAAGAAGACAGGAAGAAAAGAATAACAGATCCTGAGAGAGGGGGAGAGATTGAGGAAAGGTAAGTTCGGCATGACAGTGCCGCTTTAATATCCTTCCTGAGTGACTCCCTCCAAAATGACCTGTATATAGCGGATACAGTTTTATTAATACCCGGATGCCCAGCGGTCACATTGTCATGGAATACCTTCAGCACCTCTTTCCTGTCAGGCAATGGAATAAACAATTCATCTCTAGGTTTGTTGCAAGGTGCCTGGGGCTGAGCTGCCATGATAGCACGGAGGAAAGGGAACGACAAAGAAAGGACATTGGACGCAATAATACACTGAGGAGGAATAATAGGGGATGTCTCTTGTTCTAGATCCGATTCAACGTCAAATTGTCTAGACAAGGTGTCAGCTTCAACATTCTTAGAACCGGGTCTGTAGATGATAATGAAGTTAAAGCAAGACAAAAATAATGACCATCTAGCTAGAAGATAGTCGTTTAGTGTAGCGGAGAGCTGATTTCCCACAGCTTAACTCCACCAAGTACTTTGAGAGGATGCAGGAACAAGTAATAAATCCAATAGAATATCCAGCACAATCAGCAATACAATCCAATAATATCCCATCACTTTCCCCAATCACTGGACGACACACAGTATCAGGAGTAGAACTGAACTTTTGATCACACAACCTTCTTTATAAGCATTCTCCCATGCAAGGGAGTGATTTACAGTAATTACACAATACACCAGTCATACACGAGTTGCCACCCACACATCCCCTCCCCTTAGTGTGACACATTATCCCATTATGCAGGACACTGTTTCCCTTTTTTTCTGGATGTACCCGTAAACCTAGGAG